TGGAACTGCAGCACCTGGTTGATCTGGGCCGGGTCCAGGGTGACGATCTCGCCGACGCCGGACCAGCCGCAGCGCAGCGTGCCGCCGCTCTGGGCCGCCGCCGGGGCCGCGCCGCCCAGGCTGCCCGGCAGCAGGTGCCAGGCGCTCAGGGTCCCGGCCGCCGCCAGCAGGCGCAGCACGCTGCGCCGCTCCAGACGCGGCCCGCGCAGCGCCTCGCGCGACAGGCCGAACAGCGGATCGCGCCGGTCGAAGTCGTAGGCCTCGCGCAGCTCGCGCTCGACGCGCGCGCGGGTGGCCGGATCGGTGGTGGGATCGAGGGACGGGGTCTTGCGCACCATGGTCTTCAAGCCTCCTTCAGCTCTTCGTTGTTGTCGCGGCGGACTGGCGCTCGCCGACCTTCAGGCAGGCGGCCGTGTGGCCCGGACCGATTTGGCGCGCCTGCGGCACGCGCTGGCGGCAGTCGGCGTCGGCCAGGGGGCAGCGGGGGTGGAAGACGCAGCCGGACGGCGGGTTCATCGGGCTGGGGATCTCGCCGCCGGCGACGCGGTGGGCACGGGCCCGCTCCAGCTCGGGGTCGGGCACCGGCACCGCCGAGAGCAGCGCCTGGGTATAGGGATGCTGCGGGTTGTCGAACAGCGCGTCGGTGTCGGCCAGCTCGACCAGGTTGCCCAGGTACATCACCGCGACCCGGTGGCAGATGTGGCGCACCACCGAAAGGTCGTGGCCGATGAAGAGGTAGGTCAGCCCGAACTCGGCGCGCAGATCCTCCAGCAGGCGGATGATCTGCGCCTGGATCGACACGTCGAGCGCCGAGACCGCCTCGTCGCAGACGATGAATTCCGGCTTCAGCGCCAGCGCCCGGGCGATGCCGACGCGCTGGCGCTGGCCGCCGCTCATCTCGTGCGGATAGTGGTCGGCCAGCCGCGCCGGCAGCCCGACGGTGTCCAGCAGCCCGCGCACCGCCGCCGCGCGGTCGCCGGAAACGCCGTGCACCAGCAGCGGCTCGGAGATAATCTCCTCCACCGTCATGCGCGGGTTGAGCGAGCTGAAGGGGTCCTGAAAGACCGCCTGGACGCGGCGACGGAAGTCGCGCAGGCCGGCCTTGTCGAGCTTGGCCACGTCCTGGCCGGCAAAGCGGATCTCGCCGGCGCTCGGGGTCTCCAGGCGCAGCAGGCAGCGGCCGATGGTGCTCTTGCCACAGCCGCTTTCGCCGACCAGGCCGAGGGTCTCGCCGCGGCGGATCGAGAGGCTGACCCCGTCGACCGCCTTGACCGCGCCGACGGTGCGCTCGAACAGCAGGCCGCGCTTGACCGGGAAGTGCTTCTTGAGGCCGCGCAGCTCGACCAGCACCTCGTCCGAGGGGCCGGCCTCGGCGGCCGTGACGCCCGGACCGGCGGCGGCAGGCGGGGTGTCGGCGACGGCGGTCATTCGGCAGGCTCCGCGAGCAGGCGCGCGCTTTCGAAGCAGGCGCTGCGGTGGACGAGCGTCGGCGCGTCGGCCAGCACGCCGACCCGCTCCAATGGCGGCGCGGCCTCGGCGCAGTGCGGCCGGGCATAGCCGCAGCGCGGCCGGAACTGGCAGCCGGCCGGGCGGTTGAGGATGTCCGGCGGGTTGCCGGGGATCGGCTCCAGCGGCAGGCCGCGCGGCCGGTCGAGCCGCGGCACCGAGTTGAGCAGCCCGACGGTGTAGGGATGGGCGCTGCGATGGTAGACGTCGTCGGCGCTGCCCTCCTCCACCACGCCGCCGGCGTACATCACGGTCACCCGGTCAGCATAGCGCGCGACGATGCCCAGGTTGTGGGTGATGATCACCAGCGCGACGCCGAGCCGGCGGCAGAGATCCTGCAGCAGTTCGAGGATCTGCGCCTGGATGGTGACGT